TCACAGAGAATTTGCATTGGAGGTAGTTTCAGATAACTGGCTGCTTATGTTTGTCATTTTGTGAACCAGTATGTTTTATATTTTGTTCAAACACCTACATATTTCAAAATATTCTTAAAGTGTAAAATATTTAAAACATAATGTGTTACATTGTTACCCTTGTCACTGTGGGACATCCTAGTGGTTAAAGTGTCAGCTCATCACACTGAAGACCTGGGTTCAATTCCCCAAATAGGTACATTGTGTGAAGCCTATTTCTGGCGTTCCCCGCCATGATATTGCTGGCATACTGCTAAAAGCAGCCTAAAACTGAACCCACTCATTGTGACAGTATGTTGCCTTGTGCCTGGCCAGGGAGTGGAAGGTCCGAGGCTCAAAGCCTCCTGGAAGATGGTACTTCTTGTTACCCTGCCTGATGCCTGGCGTTGGGATATAACAAGCTGGTCATCTTGAAAACTGCCGACATGCCAACCGGCGAAGGCGACCTCCAAAGCACAATTAGTATACCGCGCGTGTGAAAGAAGTATCCATGTTTTGCTTCAACAAGATGCATGATATCTGGTTAGGCTAGCACTATAGAACAAGTATAAGTCTGGATTAGTATAACCAGTGAGCAAATATAGGTTTTACCTGCTTTCACAATATTTAAACAATAGCACCTGGAATGGGATTCACACAATGGTACCCTTGTTGGGAGTTCTTGAGCACACGCCTTTGCAAGTTACAATGTTGAATTCTACATTTTTTTGCAATTCACCTGTGGTGAGAAAGGCTTAAAAACAGGAGAACCGTATCTCCGTGTTTTGGGCTCTCAGAATTCACCCAGTCGTCATGTTCTCGAAACATGCGGGGTGGTAGCCTAGTGGTGTAAGCATCAAGCTGAAGACCCGGGTGCAATTCCCCAAATGGGTACAATGTGTGAAGCCCATTTCTGATGTCCCACGCCATGTTATTGCTGGAATATTGCTTATAGTGGCATAAAACTAAACTCATTCAAAACATGCAAGAGATGGATAAATGGAGAGCCATGTGCCATGCATTGTAGGACATCTGCACGAGGGACACACAACATTCACCTTCGTCTCTGAATATATACTATTTAAATAGAAACAAATAATGTTGTCTCAACTGAAAAGGTGGTGAGAGATTCAGAACCTGAACCTCATAAAATCTAGACTTGCTACATACAGAGAGCTACAGCATTGCAGAAAGGCCTGGGCAGAAGGGCAAATGATGCAGTTCGTGAGACACTCAGCATTATTCCAGCTATAGGCGGTCTCTGAGTCTGGACCAGACAATCCAGGGATCAACATCATGAGCATCGATCTACGCAATTGGGATACGATGACGTGTCAATCAAGTCAGTGAGTCTGACTACTCCTTAGTTGCCTTTTACGACGAGCATGTGTTGGTGAAGACCAATTCTAACTCGGATCTTGACGGGTGATTGACTGACTTGTTGATATTTAAACAATTTCTAGTATATTTACTATTAAACATATTGTTGTGCATTGAGATCATGTGCTTTTGTTCTAAATGAAAATGAACTTATCCTTTGAAAAAAACACAAAATGTCAGCCATCTAACCCACACACCCACTGAAGCTACCCGACATGGGTTAGTAGTGTTTGAAATACCTGTCTGCCTGGGACGGGTTATTTTCAACACGGACTGCCAGATTATCAAATTCACCTGCCCTATGGTCGGGTTAAAATTTAGATATGTATATATGAAGATATTTTGGGGGCAGGTAAGTTTTGGTCAGAGCTGGCAAGGCTTTCATCTAACCAGCTTTGTGGTCTGGCTGAAATTTTAGGGAGTTTCATACCGAGGGGTTAGGCAGCTGACTTTGGGTGCTGAGATTAGGAGCCTGACTGAGTGTTGGTTTGAATCCTAGATGTTACTCAACCCAACAAAAGTACTAGAATCTGTACTTTACTGAGAAAGTGTAATCCCAAATCTGTTACATTTGACCACTTTCTTAAAAGGCAATGTGTATTTGGCTGCAAGGTTACATGCAAGTTCAGGCATTTGGTAGACACCACATACACTTAATCTCCATAATTGAACTCTCCATGACATCTTCTTTTTGTGGGTCCATTTTGGGACTACAGATCATCATCATCATCCCAGCTGAGAAACATCTTTAATATGAAAAATTCAAGACCAAAATCCCATTTGCAATTATTACACTATATTCAGAAAAATACATTTACAAATATAAGGTGAACAGTTGGTAATAATTACACTGACCATGTTATCAATCAATCATCATCATCAAATGTATTGTATAAAACAGGTTAATATATCTCTGAACTAGCAGCTTCTAGTGCATCAGCAATGCTTATTACTGATGGAATTCAACACAAATAGAGTTCCATGTGTGAAATAGATCTGATGTTCATCCACCAGTATGACATCATTCCAATGGGCACGGGTGGGTGTTCGGCTTGTCCAAGAAGAACGCATGTGGGTCATGTTTCTTACAAGGTTAAGAATAGCTTTCACATGGTAACTGAATATTACAACATTTATTATTTCAACTTACAGGTCCATGGTTAAATAAATGTCATATATCACTGCATGTGGCTATCTTGAACTATAAAATGTCTTGATCCTTAAAATCGGTATCAAAAGTCTGGAACATACGCTGTATGGTCTCATCATGGTGATCAGTCATTGGAGGTACAATATCAACAAATCCATACTGAACTGCGCAAGGTAATCCTCAAGTTGTGTTTTGACACAAATAGCAATGAATCCACTATGAGACGAATATGGTACATTACACAAATATTAGGTAATGAATACAATAACATGGCAGCAGCTGATTCAGTCATTACATTCAGGAAACAATAACAAAATGTGTTCTTTGTCTCTTGACCATTTGGACAGTGCCACTTGATCATGATGACCAGTGATGACATCAATGTTGAATTACATACACAAGAGTGTAGACGGTTATATTGCCTGGCTTGCACACCTTATATCACTTCTAAAAATCATAATATACTGAGTCAAAAAAGAAACTTCTCAAAATGTAATTTGAAAAATAATGAATAATTTTTCTCTGATGATACATCTATGTATCCGAAATGGGATCCCTATCTTTCGACTCTAGAAAAACGTTTGCTAAACCCACTCAAACCCATCCATTCGTCGTGCACATGACGTTAGTGCCAAATCAGGTTTTGCACGTGCAGTCGATCACGTGATCTTCGCATCGAAGTTTTCTTCAAATGCATGCGTTTGCATTGGCCTCAAAAATTAAAAAAACACTTTTAAACCACAGTTCTAACGGTACTTGAAATGCCACCATTGTCAAATGTGCAACGTGAACGTGCCGTTGGCATGTTGCAAGCGGGAAGATCAGTTATTGACGTCGCAAGAGCAATGGGATGCAGCCGTCGTACTGTGTATGACTTGCAAGGTCGTCTACAACAAACTGGCACCACTTCTGATCGCCCAAGGTCGGGTCGTCCACGTGTGACGTCACGAGCAGAAGACCGCCAAATCGTCGTACGTCACCTACGTGACAGATTTCTGCCGGCTACACGAACCAGGGCTGAGATGTTTAGAGGTCGACTGTCCTAACAGACCATTCGAAATCGGTTGCGGGCTGCCAATCTCCATTCTCGACGTCCATATCGTGGGCCAATATTGACGCCGTTTCATCAACGTCAACGTCTGCTGTGGGCCCAACGTCACCTCCGATGGACCCAGAGAGACTGGAATCGAGTCGTCTTTAGTGATGAATCCAGGTTTACCCTCAGATTCGTGGACGGCAGGCATAGAGTCTGGAGACGACGTTGTGAACGGTATGCCCAATGTTGTGTACAGGAAGTCAACAGATTCAGGGGCGGAAGTTGCATGGTGTGGGGTGCTTTCTGTGGGAACAACCGTTCCCGACTTCTGGTCATCCGTGGAAACCTCACAGCTGCTGCTTACCGCGACCACATGCTCACCCCTGAACTCGTTCCTTTCATGGCGGCTCATGGCCCAGGTCTACAGTTCCAGCATGATAATGCTCGGCCGCATACTGCGATGTTGACACGAAATTTCCTTCAAAACGCTGGGATCAACGTCATGGACTGGCCATCGAGGTCCCCTGACCTTAATCCAATAGAGCACGTTTGGGATGCACTTGGGAGAAGGCTTCGTGGTCTTAGGAACCAACACCAGAATTTGCAGGAACTTGGCGCTGCCTTGCAAGAGCAATGGCGCAGAATCCCCAACCACGTGTTCACAAGCATCTGGCAGTCGATGAGGAGACGATGTTTGGCAGTGGTGAATGCACGGGGCGGCCATACACGATATTGAACTGAGAAATTTCGCATTTTTATTCTTGTGACTTGACATTCTGTATACCCATGTTTTGGAACGGCGGTGTAGCCTAATGGAACTGATTATGGCACTGTCAGTGTATCGAGTACATCACACAGATCTCAGCAATGAAATAATAACAATTTAACCATCTTACCATCTCTTGTTCTTTTATAGTGCCCTAGAGAAATAATGTGAAATTTCTTTTTTGACTCAGTATAAAAATCACTCCTCAATAAAACATTAATTGAATTATTGATTGCGGATAACATATCAAATATAAGAAGGGTAAATTTTGATTCACTGAATATGCAAATTAATCGTAAGAATGTAGATGAAACAGCTTAGATCAATGATTCAATTACATCATGAACGAGTGAGTGAGTGAATGAATGGGTTATTGCTCTTATATGGTACACAAATATTGGGTATTGACAGTACAAATTTATCATGACAATAACCAGTGACAACATCAATGAATAAATACATAAGAGTGTTGACCACGACCCGGCCTGGCTTGGATGCATTCCATTTTGCATATCACTTTTTGATAAATTAAATCAAACTTAAGAACAACACTCCCTTTTAAAACATTTAAGAATATTTTATTCTGGTGATTGTGGATAACAAATCAAATTCATGAAGGGATATGGTTTGATTCACTGAATATGCGAATGAATCACAAGTGCCTAGATCTCATGGCTTTGATCAATAATTGAGTTATGTCGTGGCGTGTCAGCTAGATGTCATAGCATGTCAGGTTCATGTCATAGCATGTCAGCTAGATGTCATGGCAGGTCAGCTAGATGTCACATACTGCCAGCTAGATGTCATGGCGTGTCAGCTAGATGTCATGGCTTGTCAGCTAGATGTCCAGGCATGTCAGCTAGATGTCATGGTGTGTCAGCTAAATGTCATGGCATGTCAGCTAGATGTCACGGTGTGCCAGCTAGATGTCATGGTGTGTCAGCTAGATGTCATGGCATGTCAGGTTGGAAAGGAAGGAAATCCTGAAGTGAGGCAGGTCGCACATGTTACTACTTTGGGGAAACCCATGAGTACAGGAATCGTGCTGACAAAGCAAGAAACATAATTTGAGCAAACCGGAAATCAAACAGCCATAGGTGGCAGACAAAATGGAGGCCTTGTGCCATTAGTGGCAGCAGTTTGATCAGGAAGAATAAACATTCTAAAAGAAAGGTGAACTTGTCCTGCAAAAACATAAGTTTCATTCCAATCATATGTAACATCTGCTGATTTTGTAGTCCACATATTATCTGGTATTTCAAGAAATCCCAGTGCCCAACCCCACTTGAATATCAAATGACCTTTGGGCATTAATAAGTTGTTCAATAGAAGAGTACTGTGACTCGTTTCCTGAATTCAACCACTGCAGTCCTGTGGTGCTGTTTGATTGGTGTAATTAGTGAGGCTGGTGAACAGTTTGTAGATAAGTGGTCAATGAAGGATGCCCTCCCATCTCAGCTACTCCTCTGATATCCTCATAACTGTCTGTCAGAAGTGTCAGGTCAGCTTTGTGCTGTATTAGGAGGTCAACCACATCTTTATGTCCATAGAAGGCAGCCTTCAATACAGGTGTGTATCCATGTCTCCCTCTACTGTTGATGTTAGAGGGAGACAGGAGGTGTTGTACTATAGCAGTGTTCCCACCCTGACAGGCAAGATGAAGTAAACTATCACCAGATGTAGCCACCAGTGTCAGGTCAGCTTGGTTGGACACAAGGAGGTCAAACACACTTTGATGTCCACTGACAGCAGCCACCATTGCTGGTGTCCAGCCATACTCACCTCTACTGTTGATGTTAGAAGGAGACAGGAGGTGTTGTACTATAGCAGTGTTCCCACCCTGACAGGCAAGATGAAGTAAACTATCACCAGATGTAGCCACCAGTGTCAGGTCAGCTTGGTTGGACACAAGGAGGTCAAACACACTTTGATGTCCATTGACAGCAGCCACCATTGCCGGTGTCCAGCCATACTGACCTCTACTGTTGATGTTAGAGGGAGACAGGAGGTGTTGTACTATAGCAATGTTCCCACCAAGACAGGCAAGATGAAGTAAACTATCACCAGATGTAGCCATCAGTGTCAGGTCAGCTTGGTTGGACACAAGGAGGTCAAACACACTTTGATGTCCACTGACAGCTGCCTTCATGACTGCCGTCCATCCATGCATCCCTCTACTGTTGATGTTAGAGGGAGACAGGAGGTGTTGTACTATAGCAGTGTTCCCACCCTGACAGGCAAGATGAAGTAAACTATCACCAGATGTATCCACCAGTGTCAGGTCAGCTTGGTTGGACACAAGGAGGTCAAACACACTTTGATGTCCACTGACAGCAGCCACCATTGCTGGTGTTCCGCCATACTCACCTCTACTGTTGATGTTAGAGGGAGACAGGAGGTGTTGTACTATAGCAATGTTCCCACCAAGACAGGCAAGATGAAGTAAACTATCACCAGATGTAGCCACCAGTGTCAGGTCAGCTTGGTTGGACACAAGGAGGTCAAACACACTTTGATGTCCACTGACAGCAGCCACCATTGCCGGAGTCCATCCATGGATCCCTCTACTGTTGATGTTAGAGGGAGACAGGAGGTGTTGAACTATAGCAGTGTTCCCACCCTGACAGGCAAGATGAAGTAAACTATCACCAGATGTAGACACCAGTGTCAGGTCAGCTTGGTTGGACACAAGGAGGTCAAACACACTTTGATGTCCATTGACAGCAGCCACCATTGCCGGAGTCCATCCATGGATCCCTCTACTGTTGATGTTAGAGGGAGACAGGAGGTGTTGAACTATAGCAGTGTTCCCACCCTGACAGGCAAGATGAAGTAAACTATCACCAGATGTAGCCACCAGTGTCAGGTCAGCTTGGTTGGACACAAGGAGATCAAACACACTTTGATGTCCACTGACAGCTGCCACCATTGCTGGTGTCCAGCCATACTCACCTCTACTGTTGATGTTAGAAGGGGACAGGAGGTGTTGTACTATAGCAATGTTCCCACCAAGACAGGCAAGATGAAGTAAACTATCACCAGATGTAGACACCAGTGTCAGGTCAGCTTGGTTGGACACAAGGAGGTCAAACACACTTTGATGTCCACTGACAGCTGCCACCATTGCCGGAGTCCATCCATGTCTCCCTCTACTGTTGATGTTAGAGGGAGACAGGAGGTGTTGTACTATAGCAGTGTTCCCACCCTGACAGGCAAGATGAAGTAAACTATCACCAGATGTAGACACCAGTGTCAGGTCAGCTTGGTTGGACACAAGGAGGTCAAACACACTTTGATGTCCACTGACAGCTGCCACCATTGCTGGTGTCCAGCCACACTCACCTCTACTGTTGATGTTAGAGGGAGACAGGAGGTGTTGTACTATAGCAGTGTTCCCACCCTGACAGGCAAGATGAAGTAAACTATCACCAGATGTAGACACCAGTGTCAGGTCAGCTTGGTTGGACACAAGGAGGTCAAAAACACTTTGATGTCCACTGACAGCTGAATGCATTGCTGGTGTCCAGCCATGGATCCCTCTACTGTTGATGTTAGAGGGAGACAGGAGGTGTTGTACTATAGCAGTGTTCCCACCACGACAGGCAAGATGAAGTAAACTATCACCATATGTATCCAGCAGTGTCGGGTCAGCTTGGTTGGACACAAGAAGGTCAAACACACTTTGATGTCCATTGATAGCTGCCTTCATCACTGGCGTCCATCCATGTCTCCCTCTACTGTTGATGTTAGAGGGAGAAAGGAGGTGTTGTACTATAGCAGTGTTCCCACCCTGACAGGCAAAATGAAGTAAACTATTACCAGATGTATCCACCAGTGTCAGGTCAGCTTGGTTGGACACAAGGAGGTCAAACACACTTTGATGTCCACTGACAGCTGCCACCATTGCTGGTGTCCAGCCATACTGACCTCTACTGTTGATGTTAGAAGGAGACAGGAGGTGTTGTACTATAGCGGTGTTCCCACCACGACAGGCAAGATGAATAATTCCATTGCAATATTTATCTTTCACATTCAAGTTTGATATTTTCCGTAGTAACTCAAAACATTTTTGTGATGCTGCTTGTGCTGCAACCATGACAGGGGTTTGGCCATTCACATCAGTAGAGTTTATAACATTATCTCCAGGTTTCCTATCTAACAGGATTTTCAGGGACTTTTCCATTCCTGTCCTACAAACCAGATGGAAGATGTTTTGTAACTTCTTGTCTCTAGTGTTAACATCAGCACCTTCCTGGAGCAGATACACTAGAATATCGGAGCTGCCATTTTCAGCAGCCTGCAACAAAAGTCTGTTTAGTGTCTGTTGATGATCATGTTTTTCACAACGAGTGAAGAGCCATTTCAATACTGTCATATTGTTGCTTTGTGAACACCCTTCCATAGCTTGACTGATCTCCTCTTGAGAGAACTCTTCTCCAGTTGTGTGTTCTATATCTGTAACTAGATGTGCATTATGTCCAAGAACTGCCCAGTACAGAAAACATTTTCCTTTCTCTCTCCTGTGAAACCAAACTTCATCTTTAGAATCAGTTTGATTATGCGGATGGTGGTGCTTTGTCCCATCACACTGAAGTTTGTTCAGCAGTTTGAAAGCTGTTGTGTCTTGTTTGAGAACTGGATGTGTGACTGATTGAGAAAACTTTCCTTGTTTAATAGAATGTGCAAACCTTGTGGTTAGTAGGTCATCATAATTATCTGAGACATATATCAGATGGAGATGGTCATCAGCTATAGTTTCTTCAACCTTTTCACCTTGTACTCTTTCAAACAGAAAGTCATCACTACAGTTATTCAAAACAAAGTCTGGACTGATATTGAACAAGGCACAGGCACAAGCATCATAAATAGAAGAATGGGCAAAGCCAACAGTGTCTCCTCTTGTGAAGAATGTACCTCTAAAACTTTTAGCAGCTTTGTACATGCCTGAACGTGTAGCATTTGGCATCAGGTCTTGAACAGTTTTGACCATCCTGTCCATTTCCTTGTCTTCATCTCCGCTGTCTAACCTGGTCAGGTTCAATTTGTCTTCACACAGCAGCATCAGAACCAATATGGCAGATCTATCATTTCTATCTTCAAGTAACTGCTTCAGTTCTAACCTAAGATAAAAGAGTGGTTCCTTGAAAAACGATTTTGCATTTTTAAAGTAAGAGGAAAAGTCAAAACAAAGTTTACAAATGAGAGGAAATCCAAAGATGTTAGTAGAGATTTCCAGCTCATTGTAATCTGGTATATGTTGCACTGAGTAGTCACCAAAAGCATGTTTATGTCGTTCAAATATTGATTTTTTCTCTTTGTCAGAAAGCCTGTATTTTTCTTGTTTTGTTAAGTCCACTACTGTCTGACCCTTGAACAATTTGAAACCCTCATACTGCAGTTTTGCAAGTCCATCATGGAAATTGTAAGATTTTGATGTGAAGATAACATGAATGTCCTTTGTTTGAGATTCTGTTAAACTTTGCACTTTGTTTCTGGATTTTTCACCAGCATCACTGTTTTCACTCAATTCTGACCTTTTCTGTTTTGCTCTCTGCTTTTGTTCTAAATGGGGGAGAAGATTGTTCAGAAAGTTTTTAACATGTGAAGTATTAGCAGAAACTCCAACTGTACCAAACAAATCATCTACTATCAGAAATACTCTTGAGTAAGTATTAAGACAGTGGTCAAAGTCAAACTTCTTAAGGCTGTCCACAAACACGACTTCGTACCCCTTTTGTCTATACTGTGAACCCAGCATCAGAGCCATTGTTGTCTTGCCTTCTCCTGAAGCGCCACAGATAGTCACATGACCAAATTCCTCCAATTTCTGTTTCACTTTTCTGTAGGCTTCAGTTGGAGCAAAAATCTTCCTTGCTTCATCTGTGCGTAAATCAAGGGTATCTGTGAAGGGGAAAACAATCTTTACCATCCCCGCAAAGACTTCGATGTAAACATAAAACGACAAAGTATTCACTTATTTCTGTTGTGTGTGGAACATCCTTTAGTTGTTATAAGTCTCATCCAAGGAAAGTGATATTTCAACTCCACATTTAAGACTACTATGAACTGAACACAAAACACCAACATGCTTATTCACTGACAAAAGCTTGTGATATCAGTTGTGAAAGCACAGCAAAATTGACACAGGGTGTGTACTAGTTTTTTTATATACAGATACATCATCCAAGATTCATTAGTTTTGCAAGATATGTCAATACATCAGGAGATGTATTCTTCTATCAAACATTTCAATCCATGTGGGCGACAGGTAGGACCAGGGAAACAACATGGTGGTATGCACAGATTCTGTCCCTGAGAAACTGAGAATGGTAACAGTCTTGAACAAGATCTAGTGACTTACTGCCCCTTCCTCCATCGACACTCACCTCTCCCCAGTGTTCCTTGTCCTGCCCCTCCAGTGACGATGTTGATCATGTTGGCAGCTTGGGCATTCCCTGAACGCTGTTCACCTGTCAACACCAAACAGGAGGAATCATCAGTAACCATGGTGACCAAAACCTGAATTAATCAGGTGTTTTCTTTCCACATTGAATAACATTATTTCATATTACTGCAGGGCGAAAAGTTTTGTTTCTATTATTCTGAAGACGTTCACGTATTTCATGACGATAAAACTTATCCTGTCATATACAATCGCTGCTGAATTAAACATATTAATCAGGAATCATAAAATTCCACAAATTGTCTTGGCAGATGCTCTGTCAGCTCCTCAACAGACTGACACAAAGAGTGAAGCAGATCAAGTTGGACATAGAACTGATTTCACACTGTATTCAGAAAGCAAACAATTATTGTTCAAAATAGAAATCTTCTCTCCTCATAATAATACCCATGAGTAACTGAAATGTCTTTTAACTAACAGACTGACATAATTCTTGGATATTATCAAGATCGGGGGTACAGCCATGACGATCCTGGTTGGAATTGGTCTTCCCACCACGCCTGGGGATTTTACGGGATGCTTTAATCACCCTGCATCGTGTTTGCACTTTGATTGAATAAAGGGGGTCAGTTTGTATCGCAGAGCGCACCCATCTCGCATACAAGAGATAGTCCATCTCGCGTACACGTTACGTCTCGGACTGTTACCAGGATTGGGTGGTCAGGGTTACTGACTTGGTTGACACATGTCATTGTATCCAAGTTGTGTAGATTGATATTCATGCTGTTGATCACTGGATTGTCTTGTCCAAACTATTCACAGACCACTGCCAATTAGCTGGAATATTGCAGTGTGTGCCATTAAACACAAACACAAATCCTCATGTTAAAACAGGCTGTGAACATCCTGTGAACATTTCAGAGCAATGTGTCTTTCGGTTCTGAAAAAGGTGTGAGCCTTAAAAGTTGTATTCTCCACTAAATGGAAGTGACAAAACATCCATCTGCTAGAGACGCCTCCGTGGTGTAGTGGTTAGAGCATCCGCCCGGAGAGCGGAAGGTCGCAGGTTCGATCCCCAACTGCGTCATACCAAAAGACATTAAAATATTCTCAAGTACGACGTTAAACCCAATTTCACCTCACTCCACCTCCATCTGCTAGAGGCTAGAACAGTTGATATACAATTCTGTCTGCTCATGAATTAGAGTCAAATAGTGATTATACCAGGTGGTCACGAAAAGGTGGGCGTATCCTGCTTCATCAGTTTCACATGTCATAAATACATGCAAAGGGGAGAGTTCACAGTACAAAGAGACAGACAGGTGGAAAAGTACAACAATGATGAACTGAGTGAAATTTGACTGATGTAACATTTCAATTGGAATATTAGAAAGAATGAACAGGACACCTTAGTTTGTTTTATTTCATATAAATATCAACTCAGATGACAACCCGGAGGACAAGAGTGACACCAACCTGTACTTAGTGTGACTGCTTGGCTCGCCAGCTCAAGGACCTCCTCGTGCTCAGCTGAACCTGCGGGTACCAAGAGACCTTCATGTTCCTCGTCTGACCTGGATACGTCAATATCAGGAACTGGCAAGTCACCTCTCAAAGCTAACCTGTCCATGTGACTTTCAGACTGCTCTCTGGAAGCGGCCATGTGACCTTCAGATGACTCACCAGAAGTAGCAACGCAAAATTCAGAAAACTCATTGGAAGTTTCCATGTGACCATCAGATGGCTCACTGGAAGTGGCCATGACCAGATGGTGTCCACTGTCTTCATCTCTACTGGCCATCACAAGTTCACCTCCTCACTTCACCGTGCTCTGTCTGTGAAAATGATGAGGAATCTAAACATGCTATGACAATAAGTGGGCTGGTCTGACAACATTGTGCCAAGGGCTCTGTAGCTCACCCACTATTATTGAATGTCCTTATACAAACTTTAACAAACAACCTCACTGGACTCACTGGTTTGCTGATGAAAGAATTATAATGGCGATGTCAAATTCCATCATATGTCTTGTGTGTCCATGATACAAGTCAAATTCAGGCAAACATTCAGCCACCGACAAATATTCTCTAAACAGTTAAATAAACTATTTGGAAAAAGGTACATTAAACCAAGACTTTTCTTTTTGTATTAAGGTATTTGTATCCTATTTTGATTGAAAGTGAGGTGAAATTGTGTTTAACGTCGTGCTTGAGATTATTTTGCTCAAATGACGACGTGCGTGTGTATGCATATGTGCGGTTGCTTGTACTAGCCCAGACAAGCTGGTTTTATAGTGCTAGTCCACTGAGATACCACGCCACAGTAAAGCATGAATACCCCACTCAGATACAGTATACTGACTCCGAGCCGACCAGGGATTGAACCCGCGACCTTCCGCTCTCTATTTTGATTGGATAAAACTGCAACCTTTCATGATAATAGTATGCTATGCCTGACAAAGGTGAACACCCTGCTGATGCTTTAAATCTTCTCAAACTAAAACTTTTGGTAAACAAATGCAAGTACCAGTGAGGAACTGGGTTAGAACTGGTCTTCAGCAAACCATGCTTGACTAAGAGGCTTACAACGGGATTAGGTGGTTAGTTTCGCTGACATGTCATTGTATCCCAATTCGCGTTGATTGATGCTCATGATGTTGATCACTGGATTGCCTAAGTTCATGCTTGCCTAAGTTCAGGTTCCTCAGTTTTGGAAGTGATTATGTTTACACAAGCAGAGGAGGGGTCAACGTGGTCAAAACACATAAATGTTAATCAAGGTTAAAGTAAATACAGTCAAATCTCGATGAGTCGAATGCCGGTGTCTCGAACATTGTGCATAACTCGAAGTACCTGTCAGTCCCGACCATTCCCTGTTATAGTTGTCATCATTTGAATACCATTTACACGAATCCGTCTCATAAATACACACGATGACTCGAGAAGAAAATTTGGTCCCATGAGATTCAAACAGCAATCTTGTATACATAAGCCGAAGACAGTCAATGAGAAGTTGATTGGTGTAGCAAACTGATCCAATTAACAAACCAGCGCGGCTCACACCTTTCCGCCTTTGACGGGTGAGTTCAAAAGGCAGATTAGTGATTTTATGGAAATCACTTTCTGTGCAAATCAGACTGGAACTGATAAGGTGCCCCTAATTAGTGATAGGGAAGTCATTAGATAAACACATGCTTAGGCGGAGGAATTAGGACTGGATCATCTTTTTTTCTACCCTCAGATATACCTATGTCTCAAATACATCGATAAGTCGAATTTATTACTTGGTCCCCAGAGATTCGACTCATCAGGATTTGACTGTAGTAGAAAACCAAATCTTCTGCAGCTGTTAACTTCATTCCATTTCATTTTAAGTGATGGCTTAATGTTTACAAATGTATTTCAAAATGGCTGCTGGTTCAGTTTCAGCTTATTTGTCCACTAGGAAGCTTAGTTTCAGAACATTTATAAATAGTCCAGTAAAATTAGTGGAAAAATCACTGAACCTCCAAAATATTGGTACAGAAATGGTTTTGTGTTCATATCATTTATAATAGTTATGTAAACAATATATAAAAAGTCCTCCCTTGGATGTTGATGCTAAGTGGCTTTTTGGGGGTAAAAACTATGAAAAATGGTATTTTTCAATTATTTTTATCTATCTGAAAATAAGTCCAGAAAATGGTACAAAATATAGAAAAACATACAACTGAGGTGTACAAAGCAGTAAATAATGATAATTAGAATCGAAAAAAAATTACGACATGAGGTTTGAACTTGGATTGTGGACACTCCAGCACACAGAAAACGAGTTATCTCCCTTTTGTTTACAATAGATTGAAGTAGCAGAATGGAAGAAAAGGTTCTATCTTTAATTAAACTTTAACTAGATGATACTATATTTAGCCTAATAGATAAAGGATAAAAAGGACAGCTAAAACCTACAATTAAAAGAGATGAGGAGGAGGACTGAGGTGATTCAGCTCCCATAATTAGCCAACAGAGCTATATGCACTGCGGTCATGTAAGACTACGCACCTAGGTGATAAATGGGACATTCTATATCAAGATTTAATAAACTTGAAGAAACATATGCCAGAATGATAAATTAGGAAAATATTATAACATTTATATTTTCTATGCTATCAATTTTAAAACAATTTTAAAAGGTGATCGAGGGCATAAGCACTGTTCTCTATTAACTTTAACTGGCAACTACATATTATGTGTGCAGTCTATCTTTAATTAAACTTTAACTAGATGAGGAACCCTAATAGATAAAGGATAAAAAGACAGCTAAAACCACAATATTTATCAGTATAACTGGTAATTTGACATTCTATATTTAAATCATATGCCAGAATGATAAATTTGAAATCTCGGAGCATAAGCACTGTTCTTTTAAAAACTGGACTGAAATCAGAATTGGAGTGAACCCTAGCAAATATGAACAAATCTGATTTGAAAAATAGATTCTAAATGATTAGTGAACCCTAGCAAATATTTATAGTATAACTGGTAATCTGAAAGGCTGAAATCTAAATAGAATCACATAAACTGGACATATAACACATATTTTTAATGAAAATCATACCAATCTTTTTCTTAAAATTGGAAAAATCATTTACTTTTACGCTGCACTCAGCAATATTCCAGCCATATGTCGGCGGTCTGTAAATAATCTAGTCTGGACAAAACAATCCAGTGATTAACAGCATGAGCATCGATCCATGCTAATGAAGTCAGCGAGCCTGACCACCCGATCCCTCTAGTCGCCTCTTACGACAAGCATGGGTTACTGAAGATCAATTCTAACCCAGATCTTCACGGGTGCTGGGCTACTTGTTAAAAGATCCAGGGAAGTCCTTTTTTAGTGCAAGTAAAAAGAAATAATATCAGTATTTTGAAGCTGAAATTACTAAAGGACAAATACTTTAAGCATTTCAAATACTTTAATAGTAGGTGGTGCATACTTGTTTATCAACCGTGTTAAAAGTTTGCTCAGGAAACAGAAAGATTTCTGACTGACACAGGTGTTGATGCAAGAACTACAAATCCGACAAACTCGCACCATTTAACAAAGTTTATTCACTAGAGCATATTCGTCATGTTCATTTATGAACGTTGTGGCATTTGGTTGTACGGGTGATAATTTGGCAATATAACCTTGTCATTGAAGTCCACATGTCAAGGGACGGTTAGAAACTGTCGGCACAATACTACACAAATCCATGAATTGGTAATATTAAAGCTGGTCTCTTCCAATAGCCTTTAGATAGACCATTGTTCATTAAATGGCAAGGTTCATTAAATGGCGAGGTTCAGAAAAAAAAAAAGAAACAAAAGATACCTTACTAAATATGCTTTGACAAACAGTACCATAAAACAGTTTCTCACAATTAATTACTTACAGCAGCATAACTTTAAGGCATAATTACTGCTGTGTTAGTAGTTCCCTTGGCTGAATGATAATTCAAATGAAACATGAATTGAGAATAGAATTATTTCTGCAATGAAATGCAAACATTACTTTAGAATTCAAATTCCTATTCAATAACCATAAGCATGATAAAATACTATACTCAAAATAAGTCATTACTCAAACCTTCAGAATTGACAGATAACCTCAAATACATGAAATAAACTTACATTTGTGTTCCAACACTCTTGTCATTCACACCAGAGACCATCTCTGTTCACACATCTGTACACCTTGAGGCCTTCCACTGTTATGCCATGTGGCTGGATTGCATGAACTGCACATGCTTTGGGTCACATGACCACACAATGCCCTGGCTCCTCTCTAGACTTACTGCTAGGCTCTTATGTAAACTGATTACATGAACAGACCATTGCAATTACTTCTTGATTTTTGATAACTTGTTAGAATATAATTGAAATATAATTTAAATGACAGAAAACTACTTTTGGAAAAGAAAATTATAAAAACAATTTGCAATTAGCATTGTAAACAAAATCTGCATTCACAACAGGGATGACTATTTATCATCCAAAACTGTGTTCCACAGGAGATATTGTTTGTGTTGAGATCAAACAATATCTCCTAGGAGATATCGCTTTTGACAGTAGACTTTGTACAATGCCCTGATAATGCTATGACATCATGTACTTGATGACGCCACAGTGCTATGACATCGCTGCACTGCAAGTCTTATGGCAGTACCATGTTCAGAGATGTACATTTTCATTGAAAATTAATGAAGAGTGATTTTGATGATAATAGAATTCACTTTTCAGTATCTTCTGATATCAATATATCAACACTCGCTGATTAGTAAAATATCCTCGGCAAGCCTCGGATATTTGTAACTTTATCAACTCGTGTTGATATAATTGATATCAGAAGACACTTGGGTGAGATTCTCTATATGTCCCATGGTATTACATGTCACTGCGCAGTAATTTTCATGAAATCCTGTACAAATCGATGTACGGGTTAGCGAAAAACTATTGAAAGCACCATTGAATCAAATCACCTCACCCAACCACATCTCAAATATTCAAGTTAACCTGTACACAGGTGAACCCTTCAAATTATTGGACTTCTTTCACTCAGAATATCTTCTGTTACTGTTAATTTTGCTTGGAATAGCATTCTCCCAAGAAATAAGTCAACCGAGCTCGAGTGTCGTATCGCATTGACCTGTGTCGTAACGACTTGACCTGAGATTCTAATGATTTGATTGGATAACCGATGACCTTCAGTTAGGTCACGTTGTGACGGAACTATTTGTTCATTCATAACAAACACGTGAATTCATTCATGCTACAACTTTCGCTCGGTCAGATACCATAGGAAGGACACTCGTTTCGTATAATTCGTATGTAATGAGACCTCGTGTAGTATTCTCTATGTACATAACGTGCTCAGAGCAATAAAGTTTACTCCTCAGAATACAGACTTTCTTGTCTTATTGATCCTTAATTGTCATTTGTTCAAATTATGTGTATATATAAAGTAATCAGGAGCAAGTATATGTGTATTCAATGTGTATTCACTACATGCAACACTCCATGTAACAATTGGCCTCGTCCGATATAACTAGCACTAGACTACACATACTTCTATATGCATATAAAGTGTTTACTGACTTCTGTTAAACAACAAAAAGCACCACACACACACACACACCCAGCCCCCACCCCCACCCCCACACCACACACACAGGCCCCCAAGAAAATGCATGGAAAGTTGTTGGGTTTTTTTCATTTTGATAAAAAGTAAATCAGCTGGTTTATAACATTTTATAGACAAACAGAATAATGACTTTTGCTTTTAGTTCTCTTTCAGGTAATTCATGAGACAAAAAGAGAAGAGGAACTAAATTGCATGTTCCTGAAGTTGTGTTTATTTTACCCTTAAAAATAGAAATTATATGCTCTGAAAAGTCTTTTATCTATGGTTTCGTTCAAATTATATTTTTCCAGCCCATGTATTAGTAGTTCTTTGTGTCCTGTTTGAAAATATACATATAAAGTACATTTGAGTCTCAATATGATTATTCTCTGAAAATTTCAACTTTTCAATTTTTTACCCAAAAATAGGATTTACCATAAATATTTGACTTTTCTAACCCATGTATTAGTAGTACCCAGTGTTCTCTTTGAAAATATCCATAAAAAGTACATATGTGTCTCAATATGAAAATTAAAAAAATATTCTCTGAAAAATTCAACTTTTTACTTTTAACTCAAAAATAGGACTAAACAAAAGTAATTTGAATTTTCCAGAACATTTATGAGCATACCTTCTGTTCTTTGTTAAAATATACATACAAAGTACATTTGTTTCTCGATATTAAATTTTTAAAATTCTTCTCTGAAAATTTAAACTTTTCAAT